TACGAGAAAGTTTTCAGGTAAGAAACGCCTCATAGTCGATCTGTCAGCTCCACATAAGTCCATGTTCCCAAGCATTAACAGCCTGATCCCACTCAACGAATTTTCTCTCAAATACCACGACGTAGATCACGCAATCGACCTGATTAAAATCGTGGGTCGGGGTGCCTGGCTCGCTAAAATTGACATCACTTCAGCTTTTAAAGTGATGCCCATCCACCCGGATTCATGGCACTTATTCGGCGTGCGCTGGCATGAGAAATTTTATTTCGCCGTACGCTTAACTTTTGGATGCAAAAGCAGCCCCAAAATTTTCGACATGCTATCTGAAGCCGTTTGCTGGATCTTGTCAAACAATTACGCAATTCCTCACCTCATTCACCTGCTGGACGATTTTCTAATAATTTCGCCTCCTGGCGCCATTCCAGCAGCCCAGATCCTCACAGTTCAAAAAGTCTTTTCCGAGCTCGGAATCCCCATCGCCCAGGAAAAAACCATGGGTCCCGCTACATCCATCGAGTTCCTTGGCATTAATCTAGATTCAGTTCGATTCCAGGCCTCCCTGCCCAAGGAGAAAATTGATAGGATAATCCTCATCTCATCTACCCTCGCGGACAGTCCAGAGTGTTCCAAACGCGAACTCCTATCCATGCTCGGCCACTTAAACTTCGCCATGCGCATTATTCCACAAGGCCGCCCTTTTATTTCTCATCTCCTCTTTCTCGCGTCTTCAGTCCACGCACTAGAGGATCTAATTTCCATAACTCCGGCATGCCGCGACGAACTCGGGCTATGGATAACTTTCCTTAAACAGTGGAACGGCCTATCCTTTTTCTATAAGGATCTAATTTCCTCCCCCCTCGACATCCAGCTGTTCACAGATGCAGCCCCCTCTGTTGGCTTTGGAGGGTTCTACCAAGGTCGCTGGTTCGCGTCTACGTGGCCCCCCCAAATACAGGACACGCTTCAGTCCTCTGCATTATTCGAGCTCTACCCTCTCGTAGTAGCAGCCTTCCTGTGGGGGAAAGAATGGACTGCTAGCAGCATTGTAGTGCATTGTGACAACGAAGCTACAGTCCAGTGCATTAATAAAGGCCGTTCCCATGCACCCGCTCTAATGCCACTTTTAAGACGTCTAACCTGGATTTCCGCATGTGACCAATTTATCTTAATCGCAAAACACATCCTCGGGTCAAAAAACCAAATTGCTGACTCTCTGTCTCGCTTTATGTTTCAGAAATTCAGGATGCTGGCTCCAGAGGCGGACGAGCTCCCAACTCCAGTACCTCATTATTCGGAATTAATATTCCCATAACTCACCCGCAAAAATCCCTCCTCAACAGATCGCTCGACACCATTCTCCAAGCTGTTTCCCCCAGAACTCTCCAATCCTATGTGACCGCATGGAGATGTTTTAAAGCCTTCCACCTTTCTTATAACACGCCATTCCCTGATTTTTCCCTCCTTACAATAACCTCCTTTATCTCTTACCTCGACAGTGTCAAAAACCTCCAAGTCGGGTCCATCAAAAGTTATTTAAGCGGCATCCAATTTTTTCACAAATTGATCCACGGCGCCCCCTCTCCGGAAATAAATAATTCACAAACCTCCCTCTTGATTAAAGGCATCCAACGATCCCAGCCCACCCGCCCGGATACCAGACAACCCATAACTTTAGATATTCTCACTAAATGCATTCAGACCCTCCGCACAGGCTACCGATCCCTCAATACCTCCCGCACACTCGACGCCATGTTCATTCTAGCCTTTTTTGGTTTCCTAAGATGCTCTGAACTGGCTATCACTTCCAGATTTGACCCAAAAATCCACCCAAACATCTCAGATCTCTCAGTGCTCGACAACGAAACAATCTCGTTTCTGATTAAACAGAGCAAAACAGACCAAACCAAAAAAGGCCACTTCATATATATTTTCAACCTCTCGTCACCAATTCAACCGTTCCAAACTATATTAGCCTACCTCCAACTGAGAAACTCTCATGCAAAATCCCCTCTCGAACCCTTGTTCATCGACGATTCTAACAAACCCGTGACACGCTTTTGGTTCCAAAAACACCTAAAATCTGTTCTCCAACTTTCAGGCATCCCAGCAGAGAATTTCTCCAGTCATTCCTTCCGCATTGGAGCAGCAACCTCAGCAGCCCAAAAAGGCCTCTCTCAGCAACAGATCCAAGCGCTCGGAAGATGGTCCTCAGACGCGTTCCAAACTTATATCAGAACTAATCGTTTCCATGTCAAAAAAGCCCACCAAATCCTCATTGGTTAAAAAAAAAAAAAAAAAAAAAAAAAAAAAACTTTTTCGAGTATCCATTCCATGCCTTCTCGTTCTTCATCCGGCAAATATTGATCTCCCAGCGGACATAGCGAGAGCCTTCCTGGTCGAGCTTCTATGTCTTCTCTGTCTCCGTCCAGCAAGTATTGATCTCCCAGCGGACCCAGAGACAGCCTTCCCAGTCGAGTAATTATATCTCCTCTTTCTCCGTCCAGCGAGTATTGATCTAGCGGACACAGCAAGAGCTTTCCTGGTCGATTATTTATGTCTATTATTTCTCCGTCCAGCGAGTATTGATCTCCCAGCGGACCCAGTGATAGCCTTCCCGTTCGAGTATTTATACCTCCTCTTTCTCCGTCCAGCGAGTATTGATCTCCCAGCGGACACAGCGAGAGCTTTCCCGGTCAATTATTTATATCTATTCTTTCTCCGTCCAGCGAGTATTGATCTCCCAGCGGACCCAGAGACAGCCTTCCCGATCGAGTACGTGTATCTCCTCTTTCTCCATCCAGCGAGTATTGATCTCCCAGCGGACCCAGAGATAGCCTTCCTGGTCAGGTACGCATATCTCCCCTTTCTCCGTCCAGCGAGTATTGATCTCCCAGCGGACTCAGCGAGAGCTCCCTTGGTCGAGCATCTTCATCTCCTCCTCCATCCAGCGAGTATTGATCTCCCAGCGGACTCAGCGAGAGCTCCCTTGGTCGAGCATCTTCATCTCCTCCTCCATCCAGCGAGTATTGATCTCCCAGCGGACTCAGCAAGAGCTCCCTTGGTCGAGCATCTTCATCTCCTCCTCCATCCAGCGAGTATTGACCTCCCAGTGGACATAGCCTAACCCTCCCAGTAAAGCATCTATGTTTTTCTTTCAGGACTGGTGAGGCTTACCGATGCCGGGACCTTTGCCACAAGAACCCTCCCGTTCGGACACCGCGAGCTCTCCCAGCCAAAACTACCAGGCTCTCCTTGAAATGCCAGCCCGCCAATCTCTGCGCTCTTTTCGGGGGGTCTTTAAGCAGGCGGCTGTCCTTTACTTACTTTGCTTTTTGGGGAGTACTCTGGGTTCGGGCCCAATTTCCGAGCTCGGAGCCCTCCCCCCGGACAGCACGCCAAATACGCATAACTATTTTTATTCTCTGATCATTAGTGAGTGTGAACTCGTGAATCGATGTTTTATTAACAAGTTTCGGGAGGATCACGTTCTAATGATCAAACAATCAAGTCAGCCAGCTGTCAGCAATCAGTAATCAACTGGTTCACTCAATCAGCACAAGTAAAGCCTATAAAAACACACAGTTGACTCACCCTTATTCCTCGACTGTTCTCAGCATCCCTCCACCACCCCATCTCCTCACACTTGCCTAATTATCTTCCTAAACAGAGATACGGGGGGAGTACTCTGGGTTCGGGCCCAATTTCCGAGCTCGGAGCCCTCCCCCCGGACAGCACGCCAAATACGCATAACTATTTTTATTCTCTGATCATTAGTGAGTGTGAACTCGTGAAACACCTACACGCGAGGCAGAGACCGTGCACGTTTCCGAGGATGAGGGAGACAGCCCGTGCAGTTAGCACAAGCTAGTAACCACCCACAGAGTGGCGCTACCGCTAAAGCAACGCAACACACGTCCAATGCATGTAGCAGATGTGGTACAACGCATCAACCTCGCAACTGCCCCGCGTTTGGTAAGGAGTGTCGTCGCAGTAAGAAACTAAATCACTTTGCAGATCTATGTCAAGCCAGAATGCCTAGCTCTCGTAGCAGAGTTTGTGGTCATGGAGTATCAACTGTACACACAGTAGAGTCTGATTTTGAACATTTCTTTATAGACTCAATGACACATGATCTCAGTGACCCCTGCTGGTATGAGGTGGTAATTCTTAATGAGGACAAGATTAAAATGAAGCTTGACACAGGAGCAGATAGAAACTGTATGCCACTGTCACAGTTCAGACAGCTAACAGGATACAGCAGCATCCCTGTTTACAAGTCTTCAGCTAGACTGTCTGGATATGGAAAGCACCGCATAGAGCACATAGGAAAAGTTCATTTAAAATGCTCGACACGCAAGGGTGCTCAAGCAAGCTATGATTTTTTTCCTCACTACTGAAAATGGACCAACCATCTTAGGTTGTCAAGCATGCTCTGGTCTTCGACTCATTAAAAAAGTGGACAACATTGAAAAATCACTAACTCAAGAGGATTTGGTTTTCGAAATTCACATCACATCAGTACCCTGATGTGTTTACTGGTCTTGGAAAATTCACAGAACCGTATGACATTAAGCTGAAGCCCAATGTGTCAGCTGTAATTCACCCACCGCACAGAGTGCCTTTGAGTCTTCATAAACGTCTTAAAGAAAAGCTTGATGATATGGAGGCTGCTGGCATCATCCGTAAAACATCAAAACCGACAGACTGGGTCAACAGTCTGGTGGTAGTGGAAAAGAAAGATGGCTCACTTCGTTTATGCCTGGACCCTAAAGATCTGAATCTTACCATTAGAAGAGAACACTTCATGATCCCAACCAGCTCTGACGTGATCAGCCAGATGTCAGGGAAAATAATGTTCACAGTGCTGGATCAGACAAGTGCATACTGGCAAGTTCCGCTCACTGAAGCCAGTGCAGATCTGTGTACATTCAATACTCCTTTTGGGCGATACTCCTTCCAGCGAATGCCATTTGGAATTTCAAGCGCCAGCGAAGTCCTACACTGTAAGAAATGATTCTGTGGTGATGTAGATTTGAATTAATGTTTTTGGTTAAAATGTATTCAATATAATTGTGTTTTTGATTTTGAGGCAAGTATTTAATTAAATTTCAAATAAAATGTTTGGAATAAAAACCACCCATTGTTGTTAATTAAAACTTAAGCATTTTTATTAATTTAATTCAAATAAAAATGTTTGGAATAAAAACCACCCATTGTAGTTAAATGAAACTTAAGCTTTTTTATTAATTTAATTCCAAATGGAGAGAATATTGAGTGAATTCAAATTAATGTAATCAGGCAAAAGCACTTCCTGTCAAAGTGCACCAGACGGCGGAAGAGATACGTTAAGCTGCCTACAGACGGTGAATGTTCGTCGTCTTCCACTTGCTCATCTTGCAGCTGGTTGACTAAGGTAAGAAAACTTATTTTGTTTTCACTGGACAAGTAAAAAGAACGCATGTAGTGGTTATATGTAAGGGATAATGTCGAGCGAGGCGTTGTTATGGCAAATAGAAAACCTGACTGGCTGATTTATGACCGCGATGCGAAGCGGAGATGAAGAAGGGGTCGTATTCGCTAACAACCACCTTGCTCCATATTTTCCTGGTTATTACATGGCTACTTACCAAATAAATAAATAATTTGACACGATTTACTGATTTAAAAAGGAGTTTATTGATTTAAAAACGATTGTATTGCTTCCGCTAAAGAAAATAGTCCGTTCTGTCTCTACGGTTAAACTCCATATGGCAACGCTTTTGGGAACTTTGATTGATTTAAAAAGAAAACTCCTTATTGTGTCACGCAATGTAGTTTTAATAGTTTTTCAGTCGACAATGTAGTTGTTTAATGCTCAAATATGTGGTTTGTTTATAAAGATAGAGCCTATTTAAAAATTTGATCTGAAGTTTTCGGAGTTGCTGCGCCCCCGCCCAGCGCTCGTCTCCCCCGCCTGGAACAGCCGTACCACGGCCAGTGCTTCTGACGGTTGCCGCTGGCTCGGATGTCTCTAGTCAAGAGGTTAAACATGAGATATAATTCGTATAATTTGTGTTTATCTTTGGTCTCATTAATGGTTCCCTTGTAAATAGTTTTGGCTGAAGGCAAAGTAAAGTTTCATAACTTTATTAGGCTATTTTAACAGTATGTTTGACTGAAGCTACTTCTGTTATAATGGCTAGCCTATTACTGATCAATAAAACTGAAATTTAGCACAAAGAGCTAAATATTAAATATATTTTTTGTGTGTGTTTATTCCGCAGCAACGTTCCAAAGCGGCCAATAGGGCGTCTATGTATATATTATGTCTATGGATACTGTAGCCTACATAGAGAGGGATATAATAGTAGTGGAACACCATAAATCCCTCATTACAATGGAAGAACATTTGTAGACTACAACAAACATAAAAAAATAAAGAAAAAAACATCAAAATAGAGAAGAAAACAATTTGAGACCAAGGCCTGTGAGAAAATAAAATGTAATAAAATAGATTTATAAGCTATGAAAACCATAATGAATGTATTGTCTAGTTCTGCTATATGCTTGCAATATACTTCTGACAGTTTTATACTAAGACACTACAATTTTATGTTGCAGGACACTGAGAACTTGAAGGAACAGTTCATAATGGCCATTACTCTGACCCCAAAACCTGAAGCTTCTACAAGCAACTACCCAAAGAACATTGGAATCGTCATCACAGTACTTGGAAATATTGCAGCGGCCTTGCTCTGTCCTCCTTGGCTTGACCTACGCGCTGAATCTCGATTATCACCTTTGTACACCTTTGAGGTATTCCAAAAACGTTTCTTGGAACTGGATCAACAAAGTCCAATCCCTCTAGAGCAAACTTTAGGCTTGAAATGAGACTGTATTGCAGTGCAGACTTTTGTGCTATGTCTTACTTGAGAATTGCACATTGATGTTTGTAAGTTAGTACTGATTTTTCCCACGAATGTCATGACATTTCAATTGTTGTAAGTTCAAAGTACAAATGTATTTTACTCTGTACAAATTGCACTTTAAAGGTCCCATTCTTCTCGATTCCATTTTTTAAACTTTAGTTAGTGTGTAATGTTGCTGTTAGAGCATAAATAATACCTGTAAAATGATAAACTTCATAGAGCAAGTAAGTCAATCGGGCCGTTTTTTGGACAGTGAAAACAGCAGTATACAGATAAGTAAATTGTGTGAAAAATACAGTGTTTTTTACACGCGAAACATGAACACAATCAAAGCTTAAAAAAAAACATGGAGAACGGGACCTTTAAGGATTTATGGAGTATTTATGGAGTATTTTTATTTTAAGATCTTTATTGACCCAATTTAGTGGCTATGTGAGGTGAAAAAGCATGGAAACAGGTTTATGGACACGTGTATGGCATTTATTTTTGTTTTTACTAAATAGTTTGAAGTCAGTATTATGTCCTTTTTAAATGTCTGGTTTGAAATGCAAGATCCTACTTTTGTCTTGAAATGAGACTGTGAATGCAGTGTACAATGATGTGCTACAATGCGTTGAAAGCACAAAAGTGAATTGTTAATAAAATTCTCATTTGAGTATTTGTTAAGTTCTGTACTTTCTGGGCCATTATTTCTAGGAAAGGAATATTTAGATTTAATTAATTGCATTGATTAACTCAAATTAACTCAACATTTTTGTTTAGATTATAATTAATTCTGTTCTGTTTTCTATTCGAATCTACTCATTTTAAATGGATAACTTTTAAGAGTCTTGTTTAATTAATATTTACTCAATACCAAACCTTGTGAAATTTAATTAATAATATTGCTTGTAATCTGTTGCCTCATTTTTATTGAGTAGATTTGGTGTATCTTTTTTTACAGTGTACAGCGAAGAAACCAGATGGTTTTTGGGGACATTCCAGACGTGCATATAATAGCAGATGATCTGATTGTCGCCTCACTAGATGAGAAACAACATGACAAGACATTACATGATGTGATGCAGCGAGCTAAATCCATGGGGTGTAAGTTCAACAAAGAAAAGATCAAATTCAAGAAGTCTGAACTACATGGGCCATGTGATCAGCAAGGTAGGTCTGAAGCCTGATGAGTCAAAAGTGACAGCCATAACTGACATGCCTGACCCAACTTCAAAAGAGGATCTGCTAAGGATCATGGGCATGATCAATTACTTGTCACAGTTCATACCTAATCTGTCCACAATAACAACGCCACTACGTAGTCTACTCAAAAAAGACACAGCATGGATTTGGGAACCACAGCATGCAGCAGCTCTTAAGACATTGAAAACACTCATCAGCAGCAAGCCAGTTCTCAAGTTTTTTGACATAACCAAAGACACCGTGATACAGTGTGACGTATCATCAACCGGTCTAGAAGCCTGTTTGCTGCAGGATAATCATCCCATTGCATACGCATCTCGAAAAGTTCAACCAGTATGTGTAATGGAGACCAGTGACAGTACAGTGCGACCACCGCCCGCTGGAGATAATTACCAGGAAGCCACCGCACAAGGCTTCACCAAGGCTCCAGCAAATGTTGTTTTGCTTGTTGAAATACAACATCAATGTGAAGTACCACCCGGGAAAACACAGGTACATTGCGGATACCTTAAGCCGTGCGTATCAGACCAGTGATGCTACATCTTCCAACATAGAGGATGCACAAGAGCTACGGGTACACAGCATTACTGAGGTACTACCTATGAGCACTCAACGAATTGAAAAGATCCAGCAAGCATCAGCAAGTGACCCGACTCTTCAGGCAGTAAGAGCAGTGAGTTAAGGCCGTGTGGAACCGTGCAGTTGTGGTACAACCTCATACCACCCCTCGGTCATACACTGTCATGACAGAAGATGGAACCACCTACCGACGCAACAGAATTCACCTGTCTGCTGATCCTGACAAATCAGCGCTTCAAGAGATACGGACAGTGCTGACCCAGACTGTATATCTCCTGAGCAGATGGAGACACGAGAGTCCCCTACAAATTGTTGGTTCCCCAAGGCATCCTCACAGCTGCCAGTGTCAGTCTGTGAGCGCCCAGTCAGGGCAAGATGTTTGCCAAAGAGATTTGATGACTATGCTTATGTATAAGTAATGCTTAAATATTGTGCATGTGTTGGTAGCTATACGTTCAAGTTTTAGCTCTGCAATTAATATTTAAGTTGGTGAATTTAGACTAGTTAAGCTACATTTATTTTATACCCACCTGTTGATTTAAAATACATTGTCTTCACGCAATTAGGATTTTGCTAAGAGATATTTTAGTTCATTAAACATGTTTGATGAATAATATGCAGTATACGTTACCACTGTAAGTACAGCTAGAGTGCAATTGTGGTTAAGCATATCCAGTTCAGTAATAACGACAAATAAGACTTGTGGTGGGATATGTTTAAAACTTTACAAGTTGAGTTTATGTTTACAAGGGGAGATGTCACGTGTGTCACGGTTAGTTGTGGAGTGCAGGCAGAAGAAGACAGAAGAGGCAAATGCTCCAATTCAATTACTTTACTGAAGACTCAAAACAGGTACAGGTACATGAAAACGAGCAGGAACACTCACAGAACTCAGGGTAACATTCAACACAACGACTGACAAAGACTGAATCAAACAGAGGGAACTAAATACAAGGAGGAATCAAACATAATGATGTGAAAACAGGTGATACAGATGATGAGGATGATGCACAGGTGCTTGATGAGGGAGTGAGTTCAGGTGTGGCGACAAGAGGATCCTGGGAAGTGTAGTGAAGAAGACGCAGACAGAAAGGTGCAGACGGAGACTGTGACAACGTGCTGATCTAAATAATACCACTGTTATGTATACTTGACCTGTGGTGGTACTGAACTGGAAATAAAGTGAGTGAGTTCAACCCCAGTAAAATGGCAGCCGTGTATATGACAGGATACCTTGAGTACACTAATTTATTGTATTTACAGTTTTTCTCAATTGCTAAAACACAATTTCTGAAACCTTGCTCCATTTTCTGAAAACATTAAACACAAAACCTCATCTTCAAGCACTATTTACAAAACCTCTGACTCCTCTTGCAAAATGAAACTTTCGCCTCAAAACAGTTGTACCTGTGTTCAAATTCAAACACTGCTCTCAAAACAGTTTTACCTGTGTTCAAATTCAAACACTGCTCTCAAAACATAAACAAAGTGATCAAAATGCTATACACCATCAAGCAGTCAGTAAACAATACACCAAAAAAATTAAAACACATTGTTCAAAACATATAGTTCTCAGGGAGAACTATATGTCAAAACAAATCTCAAAACAAATTTCATATTTTTTTCATTGTACAGTCTACAGCAGTGCACAAGGGACACAAATGAAAGGAGTAAACGTGATCAATGTGCTTCTTGTCTTTGGCCTGGGTCAGGCAAAAGCACTTCGTCGACATCACAAGCAATATTGTCCCTTGTCCCCCTCCTCCTCTTCTTCCTCTTCCTTGCTCCCCTCTTCCTCGTCCTACTTCTCCTCTTCCTCCTCCTCTTTCTTGCCCTTCTCTTCCTCTTTCTCCTCTTTCTTGCCCTCCTCCTCCTCTTCCTCTTTCTTGCCCTCCTCCTCCTCTTTGTTCTTTCCCTCCTCCTCCTCCTCCTCCTCGTTCTTGCCCTCCTCATCTTTCTTGCCCTCCTCCTCCTCGTCGACCACCTCGCATACGCCCTCGTCCTCTCACATTGTTTCTTCTATCCTTTCTCAGACTTTCTCCTTTTCACCTTCAACTACCTCTCAGTTCAGTTTGCTCTCTGAACTGGCTAATATTGGTTGTCACATCATTTGAAACAGGTTGAATCAGTTTTGAGTGGTTGTGTTCAATCAAATGACATTTGTTCTCTATTTGTATTTTATTGTTTACCAGTATGGATGATATGTGCATTGGAGTGCAGAATGTGTTTTGAGAATGAGAATGTGTTCAGAGTTTTGCTGAAAAGTCTAAGTGAGATCTGCAAATTGTGTTGTACCATGTGAAGTTGTTTATGGTATTGACAACAGACTTCACAATTAGCTAAATGACTTCAGGCAATTGAGAACTTTGTTCAGCCAATGGATTTTAGTGTTTTAGCAATTGCGAAAAACTGTAAAATTGCACACTCTAAAGTTCAATGATTTGTGTCACGGTACCTGGAGAAGAAATTCCAAAAGGTGTAAAGCAGGTAATTCAGTCTTTAATGTAAACAAGGCAAATCCGCTGTGATGAAAGAGAGGAGGCAGTCGAATCCATCTGCAGCACTTTATTTAAACAGGTAATAAAGCAAGGAATCACGGACATGAACCAAGGGAATGCGCAGCAACATGCAGCGTGGCAAAACAAGACTTCGCAAACAACAGACAACTGAACAGTCCATATAAAGGGTAGATAATGATTAACAGGTGGGGGTGATGAGACTGAATGGGAGAACCAGGCAGGGATGGAATCCAATGATAGCAAAGGAGGACGAAGGAAAGTGTAGTTGTAGAACTCAGGAGACAACGAGCGTGAGAGACCGGAGAGAGGTGAGGGCGCGCGCTCAGTGACAGCTGCGGAAGCGAGGACCTGGACGGCGACGGGGTCTTCCACGGGGTCTTGGAGCTGGGCGATCTGGGTGAGTGTGATGGTAAGTTCTGAGAAGAGACGGGTCCAGGACGTCCCGAGACCTGACCCAGGAGCGTTCCTCTGGGCCATAGCCCTCCCAGTCAATCAAGTACTGCACCGACCCGCCGCGGCGTCTGGAGTCCAGGATCTCTCGCACCCGGTAAGCCTCCTCGCCTCCGACCTCAATGGGGGGAGCCCGCACGGGACCGACCTCCTCCTGGACCTCCTCTCTCCTGGGAGCGGCAGCGGGTCTGAAAAGAGACATATGAAAGGTGGGTGAGATTTTATAATGAGTAGGGAGTTCTAGCCGAAACGAAACAGGAGTGATCTGCCGAACAATTTTAAAGGGCCCGATGAAGCAAGGGGATAGCTTCTTGCTTGGGAGTCTCAAGCGCAAATCACGGGTGGAAAGCCACACCCACTGGCCCGGCCGATACCGGGGACCTTCACGCCTCCTTCGATCCGCATGCAGCTGATAGCGCCGGATGGCACGTCGCAGATGGACATGGGCGGCATTCCAAGTGGCCTCGCTGCGTTGCAGCCATGCATCCACAGCAGGAAGGTCGGACGGTTCTCCTGCCCACGGGAAGAGGGGAGGTTGAAAACCTAAAACACATTGAAAGGGTGTCAAACCAGTGGCGGGCTTAATCAGGGAATTCTGGGCGTACTTCGCCCACACCAGGAAGCGGCTCCAGTCGTGTTGATTCTCGTGACAGTACGTCCGCAGAAATCGAATGAGGTCCTGGTTCAGCCGTTCAACCTGACCGTTAGTTTGCGGATGGTATCCAGAGGAGAGACTGATGTTAATGTTGAGCTTGGAACAGAGTTCTCTCCAAACGCGGGTAGTGAACTGAGGACCCCGGTCGGAGACGATTTCCTCGGGGAGACCAAAGAGACGAAATACGTGGTTGAGAAGCACCTCCGCTGTCTGCATGGCTGTGGGTAGACCCCTCAGGGGGACGAAACGACAGGATTTAGAGAAGCGATCCACGACTG